GAGCATCTTGCACGGAGGAGTTTTTGGGGAGTTACCTTGAGATATATAGAGCGTAAATATCTTGATTATGTGATGCCCCGAATGATCACCCAGGATTTTTGTTCTCTGTGGACTCTCAAGAGGCGTATGAGGGCGATGCGCACATATCCCCGTTTTCTCAAAACTCTTGTGGATACAAGAAATTGAACTTCTTTTACTTACCAGTAATTATTGGCCAATTACTGACGTCTCTCTCTCTAAAGTTGGTATCTACCAACTTTAGATATGGTTCTTTTTTTAATAATAGAATCATTTTTTCGGCACGAAGTCGTCGGTCCTCTTTATTATGAATGTCGGTTGCGCACGAAGAGTCGTTGGTCTTCCTCATTATGAATGTTGGTTAGCACAGAATTGGAACTTTTTAAATTAGGTAAGGTTTTCTTCACCGAAATATCCAGCTCCAGTGAAGGTTTTATAATTGTTGCTGGTCATGGAGATGTCCATGATTACCCTTCTGCCCCTGCGGTTGGCATAAAAGATTGCGAACCAATTTTATATGCAGGGTCTGGAGTTTTTGGGGACGTACCTTGATCGCCTGGGATTTTTAATCTCTGTGGCTTTCAAGAGGCGATGCGCACATATCCTCGTTTTTCTCAGATAAACTAGAGTTTTTGGGGACGTACCTTGATCGCCTGGGATTTTTAATCTCTGTGGCCTTCAAGAGGCGCATGAGGGCGATGCGTACATATCCTCGTTTTTCTCAGATAAACTCCTTTGCAGATACAAGAAATTGAATTCTTTTACTTACTCAGTAGTTATTGGCAATTACTGACTCTCTCTCCCTAAAGTTGGTATCTACAACCAACTTTAGGTTTATTTTTTAATATATATTAGAGTCGTTCCTTTCGGAATAAAAGTTGTTGGTCCTTCTCCTTTCGGCACGAAGTCATTGGCCCTCCTTCTTTACATCTCCTTTTGGCACAGAAATTTAAACATTATTGTAGGCATATTAACTATTGTCTGATATTGAATGATGGGTTTAAGAACACTTCTTCTTTTATCGACTTTAGTGTTCATAAAATATATTGATTAGTAATCATTGTGTATAACTAATCGAAAGGAGAACGTTGTGTATACTTACCTGCTAGGTAAACTTAACAACAATCATCAATTTGCCAAGAGCACTGTGAAAATGTCGTAATTTTATTTATTGTGATAATTCGCAAGTGAATTGGCATTGAAGGATATGTTGAATCAAAAAAATGATCATAAATTTTTTGAGCCAACAAATCTAGAAAAACTTGAAGGCATTGGCAACAGGAATGATTTAAAGCATTGTTGCTTAAACTCGACCCAATAACAACTATACAACGCTATTTGTGGACTCGGATCACGATTTTGTGAACCGGACCACATTTAGTTTTTTTTATGATGAGGCTTCTTTTTCTCTCTTTCAGGGAGAGTAGAGACTTTGTCGTTTAAAATAGCAAGATAGTTACCTGGTTGATCCTGCCAGTAGTCATACGCTTGTCTCAAAGATTAAGCCATGCAAGTCTAAGTATAAATCTTATATACAGGTGAAACTGCGAACGGCTCAGTAAATCAGTTATAGTTTATTTGATAGTACATTATTACTACTTGGATAACCGTGGTAATTCTAGAGCTAATACATGCTAAAAATCCCGACTTCTGGAAGGGATGTATTTATTAGATAAAAAACCAACAGTTGGGCAACCAACTAAACCTTGGTGATTCATGATAACTTTTCGAATCGTATGGCCTCGTGCCGACGATGAATCATTCAAATTTCTGCCCTATCAACTTTCGATGGTAGGATAGAGGCCTACCATGGTGGTAACGGGTAACGGGGAATTAGGGTTCGATTCCGGAGAGGGAGCCTGAGAAACGGCTACCACATCCAAGGAAGGCAGCAGGCGCGCAAATTACCCAATCCCGATTCGGGAAGGTAGTGACAATAAATAACAATTAAGGGCTCTTTTGGGTCTCGAAATTGGAATGAGTACAATTTAAAACCTTTAACGAGGAACAATTGGAGGGCAAGTCTGGTATTAGCAACCGCGGTAATTCCAGCTCCAATAGCGTATATTAGTGTTGTTGCGGTTAAAAAGTTCGTAGTTGAATTTCGGGATTGGGATATATCGGTCATGCCTTTAGGGACATGAATCGGTGTGTAACCAATTTCTCACCTTCTGGTGAATTGGGATGCTCTTGGGTGTTTCAATGAACTAGGACTTTTACTTTGAAAAAATTATAGTGTTTAAAGCGGGCATTTTTGCTTGAATACATTAGCATGGAATAATAAAATAGGACGATGGTTCTATTTTGTTGGTTTTAGGACCACGTAATGATTAATAGGGATAGTTGGGGGCATTAGTATTCAATAGTCAGAGGTGAAATTCTTGGATTTATTGAGGACTAACTACTGCGAAAGCATTTGCCAAGGATGTTTTCATTAATCAAGAACGAAAGTTAGGGGATCGAAGACGATTTATGTACGTCGTAGTCTTAACCATAAACTATGCCGACTAGGAATCAGACAAAGTTCATTTTTTAACAACTTGCTTGGTACCTTACGGGAAACTAAAAGTGTTTGGGTTCCGGGGAGAGTACGGTCGCAAGGCTGAAACTTAAGGGAATTGACGGAAGAGTACCACCAGGGGTGGAGCCTGCTTGCAACTTCCAGATCCAGCCATAGTCATGATTGACATAGGAGAAAGGTCAGGATTCTATGTCTAGTGGTGCATGGCCGTTCTTAACGTCTTACCTCTAAATAGTAAGTTATTAAGTCTGGTTTTTTATCAGGTTTGAGAGCTTCTTAGAGGGACTATCGGTTTTTGGCCGATGGAAGTTCGATGTAATAACAGGTCTATGACATCCTTAGTGGTCTGGGCCGCATGCAAGCTACACTGATAAAGTCAACAAGTAACTACTAACCTTTACCGAAAGGTATGGGCAATCTTTTGAAACTTTATCGTGGTGGGGATAGAGCATTGAAATTAAATGCTCTTTAACGAGGAATCCCTAGTAAGCGCAAGACATCAACTTGCGTTGATTATGTCCCTGCTCTTTGTACATACCGCCCGTCGTTGCTATCGGAATTGTATGCGTAGCGAGGTCATCGGATAGGCGGTTGCTTATTTATATATTTGCGGACCTTGGCTAAGAAGTTGAATCAAGCTATGCATTTCCGACAGTAAAAAGTCATAATAAGGTTTCTGTAGGTCAACCTGCGGAAGGATCATTTTAAAATAATTATATATTTTTATTAACATATATATAAAATAAAATGTGTATTCAAAACCTACCACTCTTTATAAAACATTTATAAAAAAAAAATATATCTTGTATATATATAAATACTAATAACTTTCAACAACGGATCTCTTGGCTCTCGCATCGATGAAGAACGTAGCAAATTGCGATAAGTCATGTAAATTGCAAAACGTGAATCATTGAATTTTTGAACGCAAAATGCACTCTCTGGTAATATGAGAGTATGCCTGTTTGAGTGTCAGAAAATATTATCATATTCAAATGATTGCAATGAATGCCCAATCATCGATTGGATTTGAATGTGGAATTGGGTTATTAAATAATATAGATTTATTTATGCCTTAAAGTGAGTAGTAAGTATCATCGTAGAGAAAAAAACAATTGATCTCAAATCAGGCAAGAATACCCGCTGAACTTAAATATAATAAGCGGAGGAAAAGAAACTAACAAGGATTCCCCTAGTAACGGCTAGTGAAGAGGGAAGAGCTCAAATTTTAAATCAGCCTTGTTTACAAGGTTGAATTGTAGTTTGAAGAAGCGTTTTCTTGGTTGGGCGTATGTCTGGTAACAAGTTCCTTGGAATAGGACATCATAGAGGGTGACAATCCCGTTTGTGCCGGCATGCGTTCATTTACGATACCATCTACGATACGCTTTCAAAGAGTCGAGTTGTTTGGTATTGCAACTCCAAATGGGTGGTAAATATCACCTAAGGCTAAATATTGGCGAGAGACCGATAGCGAACAAGTACCGTGAGGGAAAGATGAAAAGAACTTTGAAAAGAGAGTTAAAAAGTACGTGAAATTGTTGAAAGGGAAACGTTTGAAGTTAGTGGAACTGGTACAAAATCAGCTTACGCATCAAGGCAATTAGCGCATTGGCGAGCCTAAAAACTGCCATAGTCGACATTCAATTACTTGTGTGGGGTGCATTTTTGTATCGGCTGGTTAACATCAATTTTGACTGTCATAAAAAGGCTAAAGGGGATCTGGCTCCTTCGGGAGTGTGATAAACTTTAAGCGGAATATGGTGGTCGGGATTGAGGTTTGCAACGAATACCTTTAGGGCTGCTCAAACTGGTTTGATCGCCCCTCTTTAGTTATCATATATATGGTGCGTTCCGCTAATTATAGGGGTGGTTAGTCAGGTGGTGCAAATTCGTTAAGGATGTTAACGAAATGGCTTTAAACGACCCGTCTTGAAACACGGACCAAGGAGTCTAACATATATGCAAGTGTTAGAGTGTAGAAACTCAAACGCGTCCAACAATGGCGATTGTTCCCACCTATTCCCCCGTATCCCTATTTTTTTTTTTTTATATCTCTCTCTCTTACTAAGAGCAATTAAAATTGCTGTTAAAAAAACTCTCAACAACTCCGAACAACTCTGGACAGCACTGGACAACACTGGACAACTTTAAATATCTATATTTTTTTATAAGGGTAGTAAATCTGGGGGGAGAATGGCTATCGACCATTTAAGAGCATATCTGTTAGGACCCGAAAGATGGTAACTATGCCTGAATGGAGTGAAGCTAGAGGAAGAACTCTAGTGGAAACTTGTAGTAGTCCGGTGTGCAAATGTTCGCCGAAATTGGGTATAGAGGTGAAAGACTAATCGAACCATCTAATAGCTGGTTCCTGCCGAAGATTCCCACAGGATAGCAGAAACTTGTTAATGTAATTGATACAAGAGTTTCTAGTGAGCCATTTTTGATAAACAAATTTGGTGATGCGGGATGAACCGAACGTGAGGTTAAGGTGCCGGAATTCACGCTCATTTAGATATCAAAAAGGTGTTAGTTCATATAGACAGCAGGACGGTGGCCATAGAAGTCGGAACCCGCTAAGGAGTGTGTAATAACTTGGGTTAGTCGATCCTAAGATATGGTAATTCCGTTTTAAAGAGGCGATTCATCGCCAGCCTATCGAAAGGGAAGCAGGTTAATATTCCTGCACTAGGACGTGGATAATTAATACGGTAACGTCAAGTGAACTTGGTGACATCAGTGAGAGCCCTGGGAAGAGTTATCTTTTCTTTTTAACAGTTATGATGTCACCCTGGAATCGAATTAATCGAAGATAGGGTGCCATTACTAGAAGAGCTTGACGCTTATGGTCGAGTCCGGTGCGTTCTCAATGATCCTTGAAAAACCAAGGGAAAGATTTATTCTCACGCCTAGTCGTACTGATAACCGCAGCAGGTCTCCAAGGTGAAAGCCTCTAGTTGGTAGAACAAAGTAGATAAGGGAACTCAGTTTTACTCCGTAACTTCGGGAAAAAGATTTGGCTCTAAGTGCTGGCATATTAGCAACAATGTGTTTAGCAATTAGAACTGGTACGGATAATTTATAATGATCGACTGTCCCTATCTACTATCTAGCGAAACCACAGCCAAGGGAATGGGCTTGGCAAAATCAGCGGGAGAAAAAGACCCTGTTGAACTTGACTCCAGTTTGACCTGGGGGAGGAAGCATTGAGGATGTAGAATAAGTGGGAGTGTTCCGGCACAATAGTGAAATACCACTACCTTTATCGCTTCTTTCTCTTAAAATTAGTCAGGTGGGGAGTTTGCTGGGATTACATCATTTTTTTTTTTAAGAATAGGTGGACGGCTTAAAGAGGTACAAGCTTCCCCTAACGAATGGTGTGGATGTATATTCCGTGGACCCTTTAGATCCTCGATGTTTGAGACTAGGGGTACCAAAAGAGTTGCGACAGGGAAATTGGCTTGTGGCAGCCAAGCGTTTGTGTTGTTAGCGACATTGCCTTTGTGATCATTTAAAGTCAGTTCTTCCTATCATACTGAAGTAGAATTCAGTAAGCGTTGGATTGTTCACCCACTAATAGGGAACGTGAACTGAGTTCAGACCGTCGTGAGACCAGGTCAGTTTTAACCTACTGATGAAATTGTTGTCGCAATAGTAATTCAACTTAGTACGAGAGGAACTGTTGATTCGGATATTTGGTGATTGCACTTATTTGAAAGAATAGTGGTGCGAGGCTATCATCCGTTGGATAATGGCTGAACGAATCTAAGCCAGAACCCATGCTAGAAGTGACGATTATTACCTTCCTTATTGTTTAGGCGATTAAAAATACACTTTTCGGAGTCCTATAACATATTGTTGAGGTTCAAACCTTATGACGGAAAGGTCGTGGGTGTGCCTTTGAATTGTAATTTTAAATATTAAGGAAGATAAATCCTTTGCAGACGACTTAAATATAGAACGGGGTATTGTAAGCAGTGAGTGACCCTTGTGTTGCGACCCGCTGAGATTAAGCCCTTTTTCTTAAGATTTGTTTTTCCCTTTGCTAATTTGGCAAGGTGTGTGTCTTTGTATTTGCAAATTCTATGTTTATTAAGTTTTCAAATGAGCACTTGGCTAAACTGACTAAACTATTTAGTCAGTAATTAATTTCTATCAAATTTGAAATAATTTGGACAAAGGCCAATCAAGCCATTATGAGCCTCTCTTCACAATTATTGGCATCAAAAAATGAGGTAGACAAGAAAGTGCATCAGCCACTACCTTGACTACGTGATAAATTAGATTAAGTCTTAATAAACTCCAATGAAGCATTTGCCCACGACGGCATTTGTGTGTCTATCTCCATCTGGAAGGCCAAAGAGCTAACAGTTTTTTATTTCGAATTTTTAGCCGCACTTGAAAGTGGCGAATTTTAAGTTTTAGACGACATTTTTGACTCATTTTGGTTCGATTTTTTATTTACATATCAGAAAACGCCTGTAGAGGCTATAGATTTCTTAAATATCTAACTATCTTTTAGCCGTTTTTATTGCCTCCAAAGATTAAAAGGCTATGCAATCTAAAAATCTAACCAAAAAAATCTAACGAAATTTTATACTACTCAGCTTTCTATTAAAAAAAGGCTAACAAAGAGAGTAGATATGAATGTAATGAATATCTATGAAATGAGCTAGCTCGGTCTATAAAGCCAAATAGTATAACAATCATAAAAATCTAACCAAAATTTAACCAAAAAATTCCAGCTGATACCAAAAAATCTAACGAAATTTTATACTACCATCAGTGTTCCGAAACGTTTCGGAAAATGAACTTACACTAAGCAGAAAACTAAACCTAAACCTAAACATAAACATAAACCTAAACTAGTTTCGGGTCACAACACCGACTACCATTAAAAAAGGGCTAGCCCGATGTATAAAGCTCAAATAGCATAACAATTATAAAAAATCTAACCGAAAAATTTCAACCGATATCTTTTTTTTACATATCAGAAACAGGCTCTAAAGCATTTCCAGAAAAAAATTGTCCTTTGATAAAAACGGCTCAGATCAAGTTCCTGATATACACCTGAATCTAACTGAAAAATTCTAGTCAATAACTTTTTTGCATATCAGAAACAGGCTCTAAAGCATTTCCCTGAAAAAATTGTCCTAGGTTAAAAACGGCTCAGATTAAGATCCTGATAAATTAAAAATTTCGTGATAGTAGCTTTGTCACGCGCTCTATGATAGTATTGAACAACACAAAACGCTCGGATATGTAAAGGGAAACGGTCAGAAACTGAGACAATAGTCTTACCGCACTCGGAGCATGGAAAACGTTTCTTGGGTTTATAATGAAAACGGCACCCTTCAGGACGCATACAAGATATTCCGCAAATGGCACCGGAATTATGGAGATAGGGGCAAGTATAATCACCATGCATTTTTGAAATACCGAAATAATTATTTAAAGAAAAGATTTTTTTGTATAAGTTAAATAAAACGAAATGGTTAGACCAACATGGTAAAAAAAAATAGAACTTTTGAGTGCTGTGGCTATACATGTGCAACACCTCAAAAGCTTCGCGAGCATCTCAAAAGAAAAAACCCGTGCAGACCTCAAAGTTTCGTGCCTGTACAAGCCCCCATGGCTAAACCCGAAATAATTACTGTTCTACTCATACAGAGAGCAGGACCCCGGAAACTTCTAATTGAGGTCCCAGGCAAACTAAGGGTAAAAAACATATAGAAAAGTGAAAAATGTCACCGTTATTGATAGGGTAAAATTACTATGGATACATTAAAAGGTCCAAGACTTTTAAGGGTAAAAAATTTTTATGTCCAATGAAGAATGGGTAAAATTGATATAAAATTTTTTTTAAGGTCACTATTATGTTTTGGGTAAATCAATTAGTAAAATTTTTAATAGAGAATAATAAAATTCAAACCACACTTAATTTCCCAATATTATACACTAAAAAAGCAAAAGAAAAAGTTATAATAGACTCAAATTTATCTAATGATAGTATAAATTTAGCACAAACTATTAACAAAAAATGCAAATTCATAGAGTATAATGATAATGATGATGATGGTTGTGTAGTAGAATGTAATAACGATATAGATTTAGCACAAACTATTAACAAAAAACACAAATTCATAGAGTATATTAATGACAATAATGATAATGATGGTTGTATAGTAGAATGTAATAATAATAATGATAATGATAATGATTGTGAAAGTGAAAATAATGACTATACAGAAGATTTTTACTATGATCATTATAATTATTTGGATGATAATTATAATTATGATGATGATTATGATAGTGATTGTAATGATGATGTTGAAAGTGATGATGAAGTTAATGAAGAAGATGATGACAATGGTAATAATAGAGATACTTTACCTCCTTGGATGAGTATTCAAGAAAAACAATTACGACGAAATAAATATTTTTTAGAATTAATTAATCCAAAGCTTGTAAGGTGTATTTGTGGAAAACAAATTAAATTAGACCATGCATATAGGGAGAAAAATTTGGACTGGTATGAATGTTTATTTCATAATTTTCTGTAACAAAAAATATACTCACTATGTTTTTATATTTTAGTCATGGGGAAGCTAAGGAATGTACAAAAAATATAATAAGCATTTGTAAATTTTTTTCTATTGATAATTCACCAGCTCATTGCCATCAAAAAGCAAAAGCTTGCATTGGTCTTACTAATGAAAAAATCAAAAATTATGTAATGAAAAGTCATCTGGATTTGGTGGTTCCAAAAGTATTATCAAAGCTGCTCAAACTTTGTTTCCAAATAAATTTTTTGAAGGTAATCCATTTTCTCATACAAGATTAACAGAAGAAGAAAATTTACAACTCCAACAAGATTTATGTATGTATGAATGCTAAGTGGTTATTGAAAAGGATACTTTAAATGTTAGAAGTACAAGTTGTTTTAAATTTACACCTGATGAATCTGTATAAAATTTGCCGATCAATTTTTGTGCATGTTGTACAAAATTTTTTGAGGAATTGTGCAAAAGTTGTTTAAAAATTGTGCATGTATGCACAAAAAATTGTAAGTATTTTAGTTTTTTTGATTTTTTTTGTGCATTATACATAGAAAAATGTAATGATGCAAAATTTCTCATTGAATTTGTGCACCATATTTAAAATTTTTGTTGAGAGTCTGCACAAAAATATTTATCTTATTGTGCACAGTTTAAGGAGGTTGTGCACTGTGCACACTGTGCACATGAATTTTATACACTGGTAAAAGGTACACATCAACTTTTATAATATATATATATGAGAATTGCTATTTCTCACCGGTGGTGATTGTCACCACCTAAGGAATTAAATTTGCATGGGGTGGAGTTAGGGTTGGGGTTAATCATAAATTGTATAATTCCTTAGGTGGTGACAATCATTACCCGTGAGAAATAGCAATTCCCTATATATATTAATTAGTAAATGTGCCCCGCATTCTCTATTAAAATCCCCTGGTTGATAAACGATCTGCGAATTAATAACTAATATAAAAATGTTGTATATGGTGCGCCGTATCTAAAGACATCAAAAAAATTGCAAATCTTTAAACCCTGATAGATTTGGAAATATTTGTCAGG